AAGCTAAGTGCCAAACACTAGCAATCTCCGCTTAGTGCAAAGGAAACTATCTTCCTCCATCTAGTGAGCCCTTTTTGTCTGAAAGACTTTACAAGCGGAATTGGTTATTTTTCTCCAACAAGCACGAAACAACTCAAAACTTGCAACAGGCAAGGCAGGCAAGATGCTCCAATCTTGATAGGCTGCCAAATGACTCCGGCAGTGAGGCTAGATGGTTGTTTTGCAAATAAAGCCGCCTGAGCTCAACATGCAAAGTGAACTGCAATACAGGAACCGCTCTCGGTTTGTGGTTCTTGGCAGTTGGGTCTGATGAAGAATCGCAGGTGAACCAGGATGGTTTCCTTGATGGTGCTGATTCTTCTTGGTCATTTCGTGAACAACCCTTGAGCCTCAACATTAAGCTAAAACTGGTTTTAAAAGAACTGGTAAATGACAAGGCGGTAAATGAGAAAGACTGGGGAGATAGCGTTCTGATCTCAACAACTGTTGGTAACTAGTTTCCCGTCTTTGCTACTAGGATTAGGAGCAAGATGTTGTTTGCGGCAGCCTCTTTACTGACATTTTTGGAGTCTCATCATTAATGTTGAAAGTCCAAGCCTGTGCTATTGAACTGACCAATAATCAATAAGCCTGCCGGTTCTGGCCATAATCAAGCGAAAACTCTTCTGACTTACCTTAAGTAAACACTTGGTGGCTTGGAAATGTTGTGCGTTTTGTCCACCTACAGAAATCAACCTTTCAGAGAGCCCAGAACGCTTCAATGAGTTCCGTCTTCAGTTTGAAAACCTAGCCTGAGCAAAACTGTGGCAAGTTGCGGACAAGATACTTCAATTGGGACAGGCTGCCAAAGGATTCTGGCAATGAACTCAAGTTGTTGTCATACAAGTAAAGAGTCCTCGTTTCCAGCCAAAGGTTTGCAACAGAACTAAAACTTCTGATAGTTGCTCCAATTGCCGAGTTGCTCCAAACTCCAAAGCTTGCCGAACGACTCCGGCAAGGATCTCAATTTGTTTCTCTGCAGATGGAGTTTCCTTGAAGTGATCCAGATGAAAATGCAACCTCAACACCTTATGCTCAAAACTGTCAAAGGAGTCTTTTCAGTTTTCTCAAAAAATAGAACCTTTTGAGAGGCTGCTTTTGCGGGAACTGGCTGGTCAAACTAAGCCGCTTCAACCATTGCAAATCTCCAAAAGACTCTGGCAATCGGCTGATGTTGCGGGATGCACACTTGAGCTCTTCCACGTGGCCTTCACAAAGGAAACAACGGCACAGAAGAGTCATAAAAACCGGTCAACTCTGCGCAGTGGAGTTGTTGGAGTAGTTGTTGTTCTTGTTGTTGTTGTCGTTGTTGTTGTTGTTATTCCAGCCTCCCATGCATATCACAGAATCCGCAGTGCAAACATGCTGGCCCATATCAGGGACAAGGTCCCGTAATGCCTTCACCTCCTTGCATCCAGAATAGTGTTTTCCCAATCAATCCACCAATGCGCCTTTGGAACACAAAACCACAGAACACACAAAACATTGCACTTCGGTTGGTCTCCTTCTCGGTCAAAGCTGCCGCCGTGGCCATCAAGCAAAAAATCACGAGCGTCATGCCACCCACGCACTTGTAGTGTTTTGTTTGATATCCATGCAAGTTGACAGCTCACAAACTGTGTGCAATCGATGTCAATGTTTTACTCCAAGACTCACTTGCTGAAGTCCATAAAGTTGTTGCAACACCATTCGTCATTGATGTTTTTCTTAAAACACCGATTCGACCGAATAGTTTGAGTTTCTGACCCACAGCAGTTCCCCATGACAACCTCTCATCACAATGCAAACATCGGACACAACTGGCATTGGCCATGAAGGACATGCATCTAGTGAACGAACCTACGCAGCTGGTGGTAGCCAGCAGGATTGTCTTGGCACGGCAAGCAAGCAAACAAACAGTCACTTCAAACTGATTTTGAAAGTGGTTTGCACCAACCAGCTTTAGAATGACACTAACCCATTGAATTACACCACTTTAGCATGAGCCGCAAAGGCAACAGTGTCACCAACAACGAGCGTTTGCATTGCAAAATTAGTTTCCCAAGACCACTGCCTTTTGCCCTGCAGCAAAACGAACATAAGGAGGATATATTTGGGCCTTGATTCTGACAAAATGAATCGTTGCACGCAAAGAACACAAGAACCAAGTTTGCATTTCCACACAAAACACTCTTTTGTCCAGAAGTTTTCACCAAACAAGGTGAGCATAAATAACCAGCATGAAAAAACAATAACTGTTCATGTCAATTCTCGAAAAGGTAACGTTCAACAAGTTTGAAAACGAACGCACTTCTGAGACAATGCGGAATTGATCACTCGCCGAATTTACGGATCTTATAGACACAGCTGCAAGCGACAGCCTCCTCGAACAAACCATGCGCTCGCGCGCCACTGAGCGTCTTCGGATCCTCGGAGACAACGGAAAACTTCGGCGTCCATGTTGCGTGAGGACTTCCCTTGCCCGACAAAGTACTGCGCCTGCTACGAAATCTGCACTTCGAGGTCTTTTTTGCACGGGTGGAGCCGCCGTTTATGCAGGAAATGCATAGGTCAGCTTGTGCTGTTTTTGGAAGAGTCTCTTGCATGAAGTGCCAAACAACAAAAACCACACCAAACCAAACCACCAAAACAACAAAACAACAAACAACCAAAGAAGAGAGCGGGAGACTCTTGAGTGTCATGCAAGGTGAAACCGGTGTGAGACATAAATCGGGCGTTGAATTAGCGCAAAAAGGCTACATGAAAAGCCTGGATGCTGACGCTATTCCTGGCTTGGTTAATAGGCCTGGACGAGTTGACCACATTATGAGCGAGAGAAGCAGGTGATCCTCATGCCCGGGATATTGCTTTGTGTTTACAAAGGCGTGGGCAATCAGATCAGACCAACTTTGACGAGCTAGTCCGACGGCATGGTTGATGTTTAGGGTGTTTCTGTTCTCTTATGCTCATAATTCATGACTCTGAAAACCACTGATGACAATTCGGCTCTGACGCGCCGAACGAAAGGGCAGTCCATTGTCAGCAGTTCGGCCCATCGATGCTGTTCAGTAAGTTTTTGGCTGTCAGTAAGATGGAAATGGCTGTAATCAATGACATATCGAGAGAACAGGGACAGTGCTCCCCCTCCCACATGAACAGCTGATCAGCGAGGGCGGTCTTCTTCTGCAAATTTTGGACAGTCAGCGGCAAGCTTGTTGGGACATTGAGACACGAGTGGACAGGCTGTCATCCAGTGCATCATGCAGCGCAACAATAGGACGGTATTTGCTGTACACTTTGTACACGGTCTTTTTTGCACGGGTGGAGCCGCCGTACGTGCAGGAAGTGCACAGGTCAGCTTGTGTTGTTTTTCAATGAGTCTCTTGTAGAAAAGGAAGCAACAGAAACCACACCCAAACAAAACAAAACACAACACAACACGCAAAACCAACACGAAAACAAAAGAAGAGACTCATCTTTGTGCATGCAAGAGTGAAACTGGAGTGAAAAGGGTGAACTGCTGTGCTATTTTGGTTGGGCAATGAATCATCGCAAGCGGATCGAATGCGATCGGATGCACTTGCAGCTAAGGCTGGGGAGTACGAAAGGCCTGGTGTGGCAGGCCTCTGCATTGAGCACTTTTCAAAAAGGAGTGTTCATTTTGCTCATCGTGGTGGTAGCTGTAAGACGATTGCAGGCTGCCCAGTTGGTCTGCAGAGGATTTGGAATACGAATGCCAAGAGGGTGCAAGTCCGGCTATGGAAAAACAGTGAGGCGTTTAGTCTCTAACTGACAAGCGAAAGAGCACCGGGCCTTCACTGTGACCTGCATTTGGTGTGGTTGGATGGCAGTCTCCGATAGAGATGGCGGAATCACGTCGAATATTACAAAGCCTCCCTCCAGGAGGAGAGAGGTGTTGCCGCACGGTAGAGGCAAACTCTATGGCAGCCAAGCCTACAGGAGTGTACGTCGCCTATGTGGCATCAAATTAGACGGTAAGCTCTCGACAGTCCAAAAAGGTGCAAAAGCATGCAAAACCCAGGTGAAACATGAGAGCTGTGTGGTCTGCACACTTTATACACAGCTGGCAGGGTAGTGACCCACCCTCAGGACAAGCTAGGGTCCTCGCCTGAGCTCCAGCCAATTGGGCATGCTGTCCAGTCGCATGCGCCCCAGGACAAGAACTAAGGTGCTCGCCTGAGAGTCGATCAATGGGGCTTGCTGCCTAGATTCTTGCATCTTCCATTTGGCCGTGTGGAGATGAGGCTCTCACTCCACTTCCGACAGGCTGGGAGGCTGATCTCGTGCGTCCCACCTGTGCTATTTCGTCTTTTGTCTGACTTGACTAGTTAGTTGGGATCGGTTTTTTTGCACGAGTGGAGCCGCCGTACGTGCAGGAGGTGCACAGGTCAGCTTCTGCCAAGTTTAGATGAATCTCCTGCAAGGAAACAAAACCACAGAAAACACCAAACCACCCAAACCCAAAACAACCAACACACACGAACCAAACAGAAAAAAGAGATTCAACTTTGCACATGCGACGGTCAGCGCATGAGGCAGGGTTTTCAAGTACTTTGCACAGTTCATGAAGACTTTCTTGCTTGCAGTGGCACAAAGGCCTGTGCCCGTGTTTTAACATTTTCTCGGCAATTTTGTTCGACATCCACACGTGAATGTTGGAAGATGCACGGCGCGCAGATCTAAGTGTCTTCGAAAAAACACATATGCGTTTCGATGTTGTTAGAGATTCACGGTAACGACACCGTGCTGCAGTGGCCCGAGCATGAAAGGTGCGGACGCGCTAGCTCGCTGTTTCTTTCATGGTTTTCCTGGCTCCAGCTGTAGCTCCCCACCACCCGATGCCATGCCGATGGATGCTGGCGCTCTTCATGACGACGATTGGTGGTTGGGTCGAGCATGAGGTCAACTTCGATTTTTTCCCCACATTGCCGTGTGGGGTTCTTGTTTTTTTTGCTGCACCTCCTCGCTCCTCCGCCTTCCTCCTTCCTCCTCCTCTCTCACACAAATCATCTCTCACACAACATCACTCACACAACATCTCTCACACAACATCTCTCACACAACATCTCTCACAACAACATCTCACACACAACATCACTCACACAACATCTCGCACACAACATCACTCAAACAACATCTGACACACAACATCACTCACACAACATCCCACAACATCTCGCACACAACATCACTCACACAACATCTCTCACAACAACATCTCACACACAACATCACTCACACAACATCCCACACACAACATCTCGCGCACATCACTCACACAACATCTCCAACAACACAACATCTCACACGTAGCATTTGCGTGCTGTGTGCGGCGCTTGCTTGCCAAGGGGTCGGATGTACGCCCTGGCGTCGGCTGGGCACAGGCGCTTTGCCGGCAGCATTTGCGTGCTGTGTCTGCTTGCCAAGGGGTCGGATGTACGCCCTGGCGTCGGCTGGGCACCGGCGCTCGGCCGGTGGCCTTTGCGTGCGGCGCGCGGCGCTTGCTGCTTGCCAAGGGGTCAGATGTACGCCCTGGCGTCGGCTGGGCACCGGCGCTCTGCCGGCAGCATTTGCGTCCTGTGCGCGGCGCTTGCTGCTTGCCAAGGGGTCAATGT